AAACCACTAAAACTTCCCATGCACCAATTCACGATAGAGAACAATTGTAATACGTGACCAAAAGTACCAACCTCCGCATCATAATAAATATAAACAAAGTCACTGTCCCTATTCTCCAGTTAATTGTTCGCAGTTGCTAGGATCTTTCGTCCGAGTACGCCCAGCTCGGAGGACAGGACCTGTCGGTTAACGTGGCTATAGGTTGTATGACGCGTCCACATATGGCTGATGGTAATTATCTTTACCGAAGACCAGCTGAGAACGGGTGATTGTGAACAGAGTAGCGACCATACCTTAAGGTGGTTTACTTACCCATAAAAAGACATTAAAATGTCTCCAGTTCTTATCTAAGGCTCCACATATTCGGCAAAATCCTTGAACCCTAAACTGGTGTCTGAAAATATGAACGTTAAATTTAGGTGTTGAAGGAAACAACCACTAGGACCAGCCAATTCGCATATTGACTATACGGCAGATGATTTAATCCCGGTTGCAGATGTCATGATGGTTGCTGTGCGAGTAAGTTACATTACAAAAACGCCAATTACTCAGAAAGAAACATTATCCTACCATCGGCGACATAATTCAAATTAACTACCACCAGGTATTGGGTTTCGTCCCTGTCAAACAGTAAACCATGGTCAACAATCCTCTTCTCGCTCATCGCCTTAAATGGAACCAACTTATGGGTCTAATTTTTTGTTACTTCAGGTCGGTATCCTGCCCTGAAAAAGAATTTCAAGTTAGGTTTAAAAAAGAGAGGAGAACTGAGGATAAAAAGCGTCACTTAAACGAAATCGAGTTTAGAAACGGTTGCTAATCAACCTATTTCATCCACTTCGCCTGCAGATTACGTCGGCCCTTCAGCGTGGGTTAAGCTACACTAGCATGTTGCGTGGCAAACGGCCTTCATAGAGTGAATGAGTCAAAATAAACCGAATCAATACAAGCAATCAGTCGAGCTTACATGATTATTCGCAGCAACTACTGAGGTCGTAGCTTAATCCATAAGATGAGAAATTATGCGCTGACTTAGATTGCTTACGCGCAGAGTAACAGAGATTACTTATAGTAAGGCGGTATTTTCCTATTTATTTACCGCATTTCATGTGTTTATCCCGCACGTGCTCGGTTTAACGAATCCTGTAAAGCAAACAAGTTCCTCACGTATATCTCCATGCGATGATAGTCGAAGACACGCATATACCCATCCTCGGTAACGACAGCCAGGTACTTGCCGCAAGTTGAAAAGGCGAATTGATTAATAGGAGAAAGTAGAGCGGAGGATGCATCGAAGTCGTCTGGTATCTTATTTTGAAGAGGGTGTGCGCCGGCATTTTTGGAGTCTTGGGAAGAAGTGAATCCAAAGTCCGTGAGAGACCAGTTGTACATGGGGTTGCATGTTGACTTCGTTTTACACGTGTAAATCACAAAGCCAGAACCTTTCTTGAATTGTTGGTAAGTAGGTAGGTTCACACAACAAGGTAACTGCTCGTTATAAATGTACATATGCCCACTCGCATGTGCAACCAAGAAGTGGTTTGTAGAATATGGAACCCATCGAATGCAGGTAACCGCAGTCCTCTCGATTTGCTTCTAAGAGGACACTTAAAGAAAAACGTGGAATACC